TATATATATATCGGGGTTTCTAAACCGAGAAGATGTCAAAATGGCCGCACGCAGAGAATTGATACTCTAAATTTAAAATCGATGGTGATCTCTTATCTAGCGGAATAAAACTTTAATATTTATGATTTTGTGCTTTTTTATACAGAATGGACATAATATCAATTTTTGATTTTTTTGCGAAGTTTCCCTTTAAATAATTCAACTACATCATAAGGCTATAAAAATAAATAAAATGCTTCGCTGGGGCGCAGCTTGATACGACCGCAGAGGTCGAACCCTGAACAGTTGGGGCAAGTATGGACACAACATTCAAGCTTGATACAGCTCTGAATTTGGATTGTTATTAAATATTTGACACAGCATAGGTTTCTGACACAGAAAGAATGTGGTCTAAGAACTTGAATTTTTTTAATTTACCTATTATGGTCCAATGTCCAAAATCAAAATACATGGTTAGATTCAGCATATCAAAGAACCCCATATATTCAATTTTTGTTAAAATCAAACAAAGTTTAATTTTGGACCCCAACTTGGACAAACTTGAAAACTGGGCCCATAATCAAAAATCTAAACACATGTTTAGATTCAGCATATCAAAGAACCCCAAGAATTCAATTTTTGCTAAAATCAAACTAAGTTTAATTTTGGACCCTTTGGACCTTAATGTAGACCAATTTAAAAAACAGGACTTAAAATTAAAAATCTAAATACACGGTTAGATTGGGAATATCAAAGAACCCCAATAATTCAATTTTCGATGAAATCAAACAAAGTTTAATTTTGGACCCTTTTGACCTCAATATGAACCAATTTGATAGCGGGGCCTACAAATAAAAATTCTAAATTCATGGTTAGATTCAGCATATCAAAGAACCCCATATATTCAATTTTTGTTGAAATCAAAAAAAGTTTAATTTTGGACCCTTTGGACCTCAATGAAGACCAATTTAAAAAACGGGACCCAAATTAAAAATCTAAAAACACGGTTAGATTTGGCATATCAAAGAACCCCAATAATTCAATTTTCGATGAAATCAAACAAAGTTTAATTTTGGACCCTTTTGACCTCAATATGAACCAATTTGATAGCGGGGCCTACAAATAAAAAATCTAAATACATGGTTAGATTCAGCATATCAAAGAACCTCATATATTCAATTTTTGTTGAAATCAAACAAAGTTTAATTTTGGACCCCAATTTGGACCAACTTGAAAACTGGGCCCATAATCAAAAATCTAAATACATGTTTAGATTCAGCATATCAAAGAACCCCATATATTCAATTTTTGTTGAAATCAAACAAAGTTTAAATACTGGACCCTATCTTGGACCAACTTGAAAACTGGGCCCATAATCAAAAATCTAAACACATGTTTAGATTCAGCAAATCAAAGAACCCCAAGAATTCAATTTTTGTTAAAATCAAACTAAGTTTAATTTTGGACCCTTTGGACCTCAATGTAGACCAATTTAAAAAACAGGACCCAAAATTAAAAACCTAAATACACGGTTAGATTTGGAATATCAAAGAACCCCAATAATTCAATTTTAGATGAAATCAAACAAAGTTTAATTTTGGACCCTTTTGACCTCAATATGAACCAATTAGATAACGGGGTCCACAAATAAAAAATCTAAATACATGGTTAGATTCAGCATATCAAAGAACCACATATATTCAATTTTTGTTGAAATCAAACAAAGTTTAATTTTGGACCCCAATTTGGACCAACTTGAAAACTGGGCCAAAAATCAAAAATCTAAATACATGTTTAGATTCAGCATATCAAAGAACCTCATATATTCAATTTTTGCTAAAATCAAACAAAGTTTAATTTTGGACCCTTTGGACATTAATGTAGACCAATTTGAAAACTGGACCCAAAATTAAAAATCTAAATACACTGTTAGATTCGGCATAACAAATAAATAAATGTGATCAAAGATTTTACAAATCTAATGCGCCATACTGTGCAATTAAAGATTACTTCTTGAAATTTTTCAATATTTGAAATTTGAAAAAAAAAAAAAAAATATTTGAAGAATAATTCTTTTTAATTTCTGAAATCTGAAATCTGAAATGAGAAAAAATTGGCCCCCCACAATTTCTTTTTATCCCCCCCCCCCCTTTTTCCCCCAAAAAAATTCTTTCCCTCAAGATATGGTCATAATCTCAATTCAAATTTCCAATGGAGATGGCAACCATAATTACCCATTTAAATTTACCATAGTGCTAACTTAATCTATGTTATAATAGAATTAATAAAAATATAGTGTCAAATCTTTCATATGGATTTTTTTGTAAAAAAAAAAGATGAAAACATTTGCAGATATTTTTACTGGTCTTCCTTTATAAATATGCATTTCTTTAAAAATATGCATTTCTTTAAACATAATTTAAAAGCAGTGTAAGGGAAGTAACCAAAACGTTGTATTTGGATTACCTCCCTTACACTGTTTTAGATTATCTTTATTGTTCATTAACCATTACTTTATACATAATTTAAAAGCAGTGTAAGGGAGATAATTTCATTGATGTATTTGATTTATCTCCCTTACACTGCTTTAAATTATGTTTTGTACTAAAGTATTTGTCCATTAACCAGGACAACCTTGTTTTTCCCCCTTTTTTGCCCCTAATTCCTAAACGGTTTGAGCCATAACCCCCCAAAGCAAATCCTAACCATCCCTTTGTGGTATGGAAACTTGTAGTATAATTTCAGAGAGATCCATACACCGTTCCACAGTTATTGTCTGGAAACTAGAAAATGCTCATTTTTGGCCCCTTTTTGGCCCCTAATTCCTTAACTGTTGGTACCATAACCCCCAAAATCAATCCCAACCTTCCTTTTGTGGTATTTAACCTTATGGTCAAATTTCAAAAAGATCCATTCACTTAAACTAAAGTTAGAGTGCGAAAACTAATATGTATTCGGACGACGACGCCGGACGACGCCGACGACGACGACGACGCCAACGTCATACCAATATACGACCACAAAATTTTTTTGCGGTCGTATAAAAATGACTTCATAGTCAAGGCTAAAGGTAAACAAAAAACCTTCATCAGCAAAATTTTATATTGGCAAATTTCCAATGAAGTTTATTACACTAAAATTGTTGGCAAATTTCCAATGCATTTATTAACAATAAAGTTATTGGCAAATTTCCAATTTACATAATTTAAAAGCAGTTTAGATGAGATATTTAAATGAGTTTGAATTACCAACCTTACACTGCTTTTAAATAATGTTCTTTACTCAATTATTTGTCTATTAAAATGGAAACCCTTGTTTTTTAACCTTTTTTCCCCTTATTCCTTAAACATTAGAGCCATAACCACACCCCCCCCCCCCCCCCCCCCCAAAGCCAATTATTACTTTCCAATGTAACTTAAATTTCCAATATACATAATTTTAAATTTCAATTCCTCATGATATATAACCGTATCATTATTATTTTCTTTCATATATAAATCTGAAACAACCATCTTTAAATGGAAAATTTTAAAGAAAAAAAAAGGAAAAAAAAATCCTACCTCCCACACATTTTTTCAACCCCCTTTTGATTCATCATCCCCCACCTCAATCACAACCTTCAATTTGTGGTATGGTACATTGCAATACAATTTCACAGAGATCCATACACTTGAACACAAGTTTTTGTTGCAAACTAAAAAAAATCCTTATTTTTGACCAATATTTGGCCCCTTATTCATAAATGTTTGAGCAATTAACCCCAAAACTCAATTCCTACTTTCTCTTCGTGATAAAAAATAACTAACTTAAAATGTAAATTTTAAACAAAAAAAAAAGGAAAAAAAAAAATTACCCCTTTTTTGACCCCCGCCCCCCTTATGATTCATCACCCCCACCCCCCTTTCCCCCCAAAACAAGCTCAATAACAGCCTTGCCTTTGTGGTATGGTACCTTGTAATACAATTTTAGAGAGATCCATACACTTGAACACAAGTTATTGTCTAGAAACTAAAAAATGCTTATTTTAAACCCCTTTTTAGGCCCCTTTTTACTAAACGTTTTGGGCAATTACCACAACACTCAATTCCAGCTTTCCCTTTGTGAAATGGAACCTTGTAGTAAAATTTCAGAAAGATCCATACACTTACACACAAGTTATTGTCATGAAACTAGAAAAATGCTTGTTTTTTGCCCCCTTTTGGCCCCTTATTCCTAAAATTTTGAGGCAATTAACCCCAAAATCAATCCCAGCATTGACCCTTTGTGATATGGAATCTTGTGGTACAATGTCAAAGAGATCCATATGCTAACACACAAGTTATGTCTGGAAGTTACAAAAATGCTTATTTTCGGCCCCTTTTTGGCCCCTAATTCCTTAACTGTTGGTACCATAACCCCCAAAATCAATCCCCACCTTCCTATTGTGGTATTGAACCTTAGGGTGAAATTTCATAGAGATCCATTCACTTAAACTAAAGTTAGAGTGCGAAAACCATTGTGTATTCGGACGACGACGACGACGCCAACGTCATACCAATATACGACCTCAAAATTTTTTTGCTGTCGTATAAAAATGACTATTAGTTGCCAGATTGGCATGTGTAATTAGCATGTTATAAGTATCCTCAATTCCATGTAGTGTTTTCCTTAACTATCTTGCATTCTAAACTAGGTGAACATGACAAACAGCTATATTTCAGATTTTATAAATTTCTGGCATGTAAATAAATTCAATGTTTTTATGTGATATCAGTCTCATTGTCTTATGTTCATCTAAAATACTAACAGGGACTTGTAACAATGTGTGTACAAGTCCCTGAATTCTATGTAAATTGTATTTTCAATTCAGCTATCTACAACCCTACCATTCAAGTATACTTTTTTTACCTACAGCATGTATCAATCTAACTGAATTCATTAAATGCATGATGTTTATAATATATTTCCACTCTGTAAAGTTGATGCTTAAGCAACCATGAATGAGAATTTATTCCTATTTGAAATAAATACTAGGAACTTACGTATAAGTTGGTTCCCAGATTCTACGTAATCGTTCTGTCTTGCTGCCTGAACCACCTTGAATGAGTAATTTTTGTATAAACCTGAATATACACTGTTTATCTTCAGTTAAAACAACCTCTGTGTCCTCCAACTGTGAAAAAAACCAAACAAACTTAATACTTATCCTATGATATTAGTGAAGAATATTGTTTGGGCATATTAGTAAGTTTCAATTTACGAGTAGCTATTTGGATATCAATTCATATTATAGAAAAATTTTAAAATCACGAGAAGCTTTGTTTTTGTAAAATTTGCTGAAAAATATTATGTGACATTTGCTCCACACCTAGAATGTAAACTTACCCCTGGAAGACAAGGAGCTTTGAAAGACAGTACGAGTTTTGGTTGTTGTAGAGGATAGACATTCTCTGGGGCCTGAGCTGGCTCTTTACCTACAAAAATTATATTCAAAGATTAAATTGAGTTAACAGTAACACTGTGTTGAGTTCCTAGAAAGCTTGTAACATGTATACATGCTTTGTATTTATCTGCCATTTTGGTTTCACTCTTATGTGATTTTGTGAATACGTATTGGTACTTTAATGCCTGGCTATATTTTGGATTGTTAGGACTATCAAATGGAAAAGTATTAACATCAGTAACCAAATATCTGTATAAACACCCTTCTTCTCTAACTGACAATGAAAATCAAAGGGCCTTACCTGGAGTTGGTATTTCAAAGTCCTGAGTTTGATTAACATTAGTTCTACCAGGTCTTGGATCAAATGCTGGAATCAGTGCAGAGAATTGTCTCTTAAGAACATACTCATCATCCCATGTTTTTCGTCTCTCTCCTCTCATTTCAAGATCTTCTTCCTCCTAAAATATAGGTTGAATTGCTTCAAATATAGTATAAGCTTTCCATTTTTTTAACAAGCTAATACTACAGCTTAATAATAAGTTTAAAGCAAAATTTTAAGAATATAAAATTTAAGGAGCTACTACAAAAATGCATTTTCTTCAATCAAATAAAAATGTCAAGTAGTCGTAAGAAGTATGCCAGGGTTTCACAAGAAAACGCAAAGAAGCAACAACTATCATTTAACTTCATGATCTGCTTTAAAGACAATGGTTTTTTAATGAATAGTTTGTATACCACATATAGTCTGCTTCATAACAGAAGTTTGCAGAGAAGACTGGTTAATTGGAAGGAGTTAAGCCTTCCAATTGATATTTTATAGCGTGTTTTTCTATGTTGTGATGTTATACTATTGTTTCAGAAAAGGGAGAAGGTTTGGTACCATTAAAACGTTTAATCCCGCTGCAAATGTTTGCACCTGTCCTAAGTCAGGAATCTGATTACAGTAGTTGTCGTCTGTTTATGTAGTTCATACGTGTTTCTCGTTTCTCGTTTTTATATAGATTAGACCGTTGGTTTTTCCGTTTGAATGGTTTTACACTAGTAATTTTTTGGGGCCCTTTATAGCTTGCTGTTCGGTGTGAGCCAATGCTCCGTGTTGAAGGCCGCACCTTGACCTATAATGGTTTACTTTTATAAATTGTAACTTGGATGGAGAGTTGTCTCATTGGCACTCATACCACATCTTCCTATATCTAAGATACAAATGTTCTTACTACAATTTTGTTTTCATTATGGTTATTGAGGAGTTTTATGGATATGACTTAATATCTGTGTGGAACATGGATATGTTCCATCTGTTATTTTCACACTTCTATCCTCCTCTTCATCTTGTTTATCGCTTATCATTAAATATCATTTATTATAGGATTTTTGCATTTAATGATCCTCATGACCAATGACACAAGTTAGTCTTAAATAAGAACTTGTTCTCTCCAAGTTCATTCCTTCTTTTTAGTATGGTCCCACAATCTTTATTTTTGTGTGTAATGTTTTGAAGACTATTGAGTTTTTGTATTTGTGTTCTTGACATTGTCTTTCTTTAATTGATTTCAGATTCTGATTCCCCTCTTGGTATCTTCTACTTATTCATACCATTTCCAGCACCCTTCAATCTAAGTACTCATGTGAACAGATTTATCTTCATTTAATCTTTTTCATCAAATCTATCAAACTTCTACTTACCAGTACATCTTCATAAAGTTCATCATCCTCATTTTCTTCATCATTTTCATCATCATCTTCATCAGGTACAGGTAAATCTTCTTCATCTTCTAATTCTGCCAAAAGATTTGTAGCCCTACTTGTTTCTAAAAACTCATTGTCACTCTCACTAGATGTAGAGGTTAGACTACGTGTCAGAGCCTGGCTTAGAGAGGTCACATTAGCCATGGTCTGGGTCGTTGTCAAGGTGTTAGAGGTGGCAGCACTATTTGTTGTCAAGCTAGGATAACTCTGTGCAGTACTCAGAAGATTACCTGCATAAAATTAGACATGTTTAAAACAAACATTTATCTAATCTCTCAGACCATAAAGACATTTTGTAAATTTATTGATGTATTTACAAAAGCAGACATTGAAGAAAAGGGGTAATAGAAAGTGTCAGCATTCCTTGTTAATTCTACTAAGTGTCAGCTTACATTCTGATGTTCTTCAGTTAATTTATTGATAAAACTTTGAAATCATTAACAGAATTGCATTTTTATGTCAAGTATAATAATTCTTTCACTATCAACACATTATGAACATTGAAATATGTCATCTAATGATACTTTATTATGTTTTTTTTTTTCATTTTTTCAATTTCTTGTCTTTTTTATAGATACAGTTTAGGCTCCATATTCAAGCTTCTTCTCTTATGTTCTTGTTTGGTATCTTACATGCAAAACATTTTTTTTCGATAGTTCAAACAGCATTTTCAAAATAAAATTAGAAGATTGGGTATGATTACTGATAAACACATACTGATAGCATTTTGTGAGGCTAATCTTATACTGTTACTCCTATTATTCATTCCCACAGTTCCTAGATTTCTCTTGGCTACAGCTGCAAAGGATTCCAACAAACTGACCGTCTGTTCCATACTGGTTGGCAAATTAGGTACACTAACACTCATGGGATTGGTTGGGGAACTCCTTGTCTGTGATTCTGGACGTTTGTTTTCCTTGTTATGTTGTGTGGTAGTGACAGATATATTATCTACAGGCTGGCCTCCTTCTGCTCCTTTCACTTCATCTTCATTGTCTGCCTCTAATAAGGTAGCAAATTCTGACAGAGTAACCTCCCCTGATCTATTACTACGATGAGCCACAACAAACTGTTCTCTAGGGATATTACAATTGTTATCTTCTTCAACACTTCCCATCAGACGATTGGAACTGGCAAGATTGACAAGGTTATCACTGAGATTCTGAGCCATCTGCAAAACAGGGACATGAATGTATGATTCTTTTGAATAGAAAATGTTAGAGGCATCATTCATGCAATTTTTTGTTACATCTGATCAAAATATTTTAACATGTTTATATACTTTTGAGTCTACCTTTATTCTATTCAAAACTGTTACAACAATTTTTACAATCATCAGTCTAGGAGTTTGACTGTTAGGTTTATAAAATTTCAGGTCACACATAATTGACTTCTTTGGACTTTTTTTGTACAAAATTCAAATAAAATAACAGTAAGCCTAAAATACACTTTAAAACGTTCATTTGTCCCAGTCCTTCAACTGGAAAATTCCAAATTTGGCTAAAATAGGCTTAATAAAGAGATGGTAAATTGGAATACAATCTAAAGAAAAAATAGTTCAATAGAGATTGTAAAACCTACAGGTTTAACTTAAGAAGTTTCTCTGTAACTACAGCAGAGATAGTAACATTTACTGATTTCACTGTAAAAGTTTCTGGGTAACTAAAGCAGAGATTTAAACACTTACAGATTTCACTTTAGAAGTCAAATTTTCAGCTGATGAAGCTTGTTCTGTGCTGGCTACAGATGGTTTATTTTCCTCTACATCTGTCAAACTTGGAGTAGAACTACTCTTCCTACTTGTCAACACACTAACCTATTAACACATAGTCAACTCATCAACGTATGACATGATACACATACAGTTTGTTTTTGGATATTTGTTAAACATTCCCGTCCTTGTGGTTGATGAACCTTGTATTCTGTCTTTACAACGTGTAAACATATCAAACAAGGATTTTTTGAGTTTTTTTTAATCTAATTTATCTAATTATTATTATGGAAATACCAAATTAGTGGATCATTATATATACTTTATTCTGATAAACTGCTGTAAATACAATGGTACACAGAAGAACATATACTTTCTCTTCAATTCCTTGTTGTAGTTATTTCACTGTTATATATTATTGTTACATCTGTAATATAAACACTTTTGAAATTTCACACAAGGGGATAAATTTCAGACAATAAATGCGAAAAAGAAAAACACTTAAAAACATGAATTTTGTTCTTTATATATTATTGTGTGTTGGTATGTAAGTAAGTTCTGAATCTAGAATTTTTGTCAAGGGGCAAAATTTTGGTCCTAAAATGGTTAACTGACAATAGTGACATGTGCTATGCAGGCTATAGATCTTGTTTTTAATTGGATCATTTCTTGTAATTATATTTTTGTTGAATCTATTGTATTTTTTAAAAGTACTTACTAATGGAAACTTGGGAAACATCAATCATTCAATTAATGTTTAGAAGTCAAATTTGACAATAACATGCATGTTATTTGTTTGATAACTGGAGAGAATAAAATTTCAGTGAATGCCAGAGCATGAAAAGATGCTACTAAAGATAAATACTAATGAATATTTACCTTAATTTTATCAGAAACTGACACACCATGTGTTTTCACTTTAAGACTTCCTTTGTCCTGTCTGACAGGTACAGGTCTGAGATTCTGTGGGTCATGGTTAGGTGAAAGTTGAAGGTCATATTTGCCTTCAGCTCCCATTCTGTATGAGTTAGTTCCTCCAGCATCCCATGTTACATCAATCCATCCTGATAAAAAATTTAACATGGAATATAAGTGTACTTAAAAAATGACTAGTTTATTATCATATCAGTATAAAATGTGTGCATCAATGTGTGGACTTAAAAGAGACAGAACACCTTATGAAGTACTAAAGATTGTTACAGATTTGTGTCATGGTAAATTGTGTACTTGTTACAAATATTATTTTGATATCATTCTTATAAATAAATGAATGTTTAAACTTCTGTAAGAACTTATTATGTATACCAATGTTTTATCACACAGAATTCTGATGTACTGTGGATTCAGATATTTTTGTGGACAAATTGTTTGATTTCATGGTTTTGCCAAAGTCTGCATACAAGTGTATAGAAAATTTGTTCTTTGTTGAACATTGAAATTCTTGGTTTACCTGAACCCACAAAAATCACAGAAATTGGTATCCCATGAATATTAATGAATACACAGTAATATTTCTGAATGTTCTAGTTTTATGTCAGCTGAGCAAAATAAATGTCACGTCTAACCATTACATATTAAAACTTCACATATATCCAACCAGCCTTTAACTAACTTTTCAGTCATTTCATATGCCTTTTATGTTGTTATATTATCAAAAGATATATATATGGACATGGTACTTACCATTTCTTAATTCACTGGTGATAGTGCCTTCACCTGAAGGATTACCATCCTGATCCCTCCATTTCCAGTCCATGCCACGAACAACTCGGGCTCCAGGAACCATCTGTCTCAATGTCTGAGTCCTTATAATTCTTCTCAATCTTCTCATGTTAGCTTCCGCTTCTTTAGCAGCCTTGCCTATAAATTATATGCATACAAAAGATGGAGATTTTTTAAAATACTTTAGTCTATATATATCCCAAGAATTACCCTTATCAAAATAAAAAAGACCTAACTGGGTTGTGCCTTATTCATGTGAGACTACAAACCCTTTCATTTAGAATATTTCTTTTAATGGTTTTAATGTAAAGACAGGCAATAAGATTTATACTATCATTCACTGATTCCAATCTCGACCTTCTGACCTATTGACCCCAGTAGTTACCTAAATCCTCATAAATAGCATGACTGTTCCAGATGTTTCAAGCAGTGATGTGTTAGTGACCCAAATCTTCAACCTTTTGAACCTTGCACTTACCTAAATCATCACAAACACCAGTAACAGTTCCGTAGATTTCAAAACCAGATAATGATAGATAATGAGTTTGTCCGCTAGCATTCTTCCCAGTCTGCTGTATTCTGATATGTCTCCATCCCTGAGGTTCGTCGTCTGAACAAGTTAAGGCAAATGAGGCTGTTGACCTGCAACAAAAAAACAACTTTTAATTTTACGAGCAATATTTGGCAATATATTAAATATTTTAACCTGTCAAAAGAGACCATCTCATTCTCTTCTGTCACACAAAAGTAGTCTTCAAGACAGGTAGTCTATCTATGGGGGTTATTTTTTTCAAACTTATTACTGCAAAGGTTTTCAGTCTATTAAACAATTAAACATTGATAAATTATTGAATTTCCTGCATATATCTGAAGAAGTTTTAGAAATCTTAACTAGCATAAACTAACCCAGGTTCATTGAGAGTATTGTCATCTTTGTGTTTCCTCAATGTTATCCAGGTGGTACCATCTTTTGACACTTGTAACTCCCAGTTTCTCAGTGCAGATCTGAAATTGTATAAAATAAGCTTTGATTTACACAAAATCGTAATAAGCAGACTTAAATGTAACCCTTGTAAAAATACAGTTCTACAGCCTTTATTTTCAGTACAAAATCTTTTTTATTTTTCAACAATTAAACTTTGAAGAAACTTGAACAATTATTGATTCAGACCAGACAATATTTTTTAGAGCTTTAATGTTCTATTCTAGGACCTATAGTTATCTGTTTTAACTACACAAGCTATACATTTACACTATAAAAAGACTGTATTCTATAAATTCAGAAATTATTGCGAGGTTTTTATTAATGCGAATAATGCAACTACTTGAATATCACAATAATAAGAACTCGCATTCTTATATCAAATACATATATTTGTATGTAGCTTTTCATAGAATCGCAATAATTATACTCAAATTTTTGTTCATTCTTTAAAAATTACAATAATAAATGCACGAAACAATTTCTGAATTTACAGTATACAACACTATGCAATAGTAATACTCTTATACCTGCCATATCCTCTAGCATGTCTGATGGTATACATAGAGGGAATTAACCATACTCCTAAGTCAATTGCAAACCATGCTTTCCTACAAAATAATATAAAATACTCTGTTCACAAACAACATCAAATAACATTTTCAGAAAAAATAAAAATAAATAGATGTGGTATATTTGCTAATCAGACAACTACCTACAACTAAAACAAAAAGATGTCAACAAGTACAGGTCACCATACACCCTTCGGCAATAAGCAAAACCCATACTGTATATTAAAGTTATAAAAGGCATTATGATGACATAATATGAAACATAAATGGGCAATGTGTCCATGGGACACAAATGATGCCCCCGCTTGAATATAACGTTATAAAGGGATATAACTCAAGAACTGTATAAGTGACGCTACCCAAATTTGTACTTGATCTGAGTCTTGTGGTAATAAGCATTGTGCATAAGTTTCATAACATTTGGTTGAGACAAACTAAAGTTAAAGAACAGAAACAAATATTTTAGGAATTTTTTCATTTGTAAAGCGCATAACTCTAGTACGGTAAAAGTGACGCCACCAAAATTCAAACTTGATCTGTGTTTTGTGGTAATAAACATTGTGTATAAGTTTCATAACATTTGGTTGAGGCAAACTAAAGTTTTAGAATGGAAACCAATTTTGGGACGTACTTACAGACGGACAAGGGTAAAACTTAATGCCCCCTCCGCTACGGTGGAGGCATTAAAACAGAAAACAAACAGCCTACTTAACATTGTTTGTATGTCAGTTGAGGACAACACTATCCCTGTGCTGTGCTTTCTCAAATTAAGAGCAGGTGTACTGATGGTAACTTATTTATCATTTGTATGACAGGTTAGGACAGTACTTTCCCTGCTTAGTATTTTCTTGATCTAGTGCAGGTAAATTGACAGATAACTAACTTATCATTTGTATGACAGATTAGGACAGTACTATCCCTGGTCAGTATTTTCTTGTTATTTAGTGCAGTTTAATCGACAGACAACTTACTTGTATAAAAATAAGGAGATGTGGTATGATTGCCAATGAGACAACTATCCACCAAAGTTCAAATGAAATGGATGTAAGCAATTATAGGCAACTGTACAGCCTTCAACAATGAGAATAAAATGCTTCGCTAGGGCGCAGCTTGATACGACCGCAGAGGTCGAACCCTGAACAGTTGAGGCAAGTATGGACACAACATTCAAGCTTGATACAGCTCTGAATTTGGATTGTTATTAAATATTTGACACAGCATAGGTTTCTGACACAGAAAGAATGTGGTCTAAGAACTTGAATTTTTTTAATTTACCTATTATGGTCCAATGTCCAAAATCAAAATACATGGTTAGATTCAGCATATCAAAGAACCCCATATATTCAATTATTGTTAAAATCAAACAAAGTTTAATTTTGGACCCCAACTTGGACAAACTTGAAAACTGGGCCCATAATCAAAAATCTAAACACATGTTTAGATTCAGCATATCAAAGAACCCCAAGAATTCAATTTTTGCTAAAATCAAACTAAGCTTAATTTTGGACCCTTTGGACCTTAATGTAGACCAATTTAAAAAACGGGACTTAAAATTAAAAATCTAAATACACGGTTAGATTTGGAATATCAAAGAACCCCAATAATTCAATTTTTGATGAAATCAAACAAAGTTTAATTTTGGACCCTTTTGACCTCAATATGAACCAATTTGATAGCAGGGCCCACAAATAAAAAATCTAAATTCATGGTTAGATTCAGCATATCAAAGAACCCCATATATTCAATTTTTGTTGAAATAAAAAAAAGTTTAATTTTGGACCCCAACTTGGACCAACTTGAAAACTGGGCCCATAATCAAAAATCTAAACACATGTTTAGATTCAGCATATCAAAGAACCCCAAGAATTCAATTTTTGTTAAAATCAAACTAAGTTTAATTTTGGAACCTCAATGAAGACCAATTTAAAAAACGGGACCCAAATTAAAAATCTAAAAACACGGTTAGATTTGGCATATCAAAGAACCCCAATAATTCAATTTTTGATGAAATCAAACAAAGTTTAATTTTGGACCCTTTTGACCTCAATATGAACCAATTTGATAGCGGGGCCTACAAATAAAAAATCTAAATACATGGTTAGATTCAGCATATCAAAGAACCTCATATATTCAATTTTTGTTGAAATCATACAAAGTTTCATTTTGGACCCCAATTTGGACCAACTTGAAAACTGGGCCCATAATCAAAAATCTAAATACATGTTTAGATTCAGCATATCAAAGAACCCCATATATTCAATTTTTGTTGAAATCAAACAAAGTTTAAATACTGGACCCTATCTTGGACCAACTTGAAAACTGGGCCCATAATCAAAAATCTAAACACATGTTTAGATTCAGCATTTCAAAGAACCCCAAGAATTCAATTTTTGTTAAAATCAAACTAAGTTTAATTTTGGACCCTTTGGACCTTAATGTAGACCAATTTAAAAAACAGGACCCAAAATTAAAAATCTAAATACACCGTTAGATTTGGAATATCAAAGAACCCCAATAATTCAATTTTTGATGAAATCAAACAAAGTTTAATTTTGGACCCTTTTGACCTCAATATGAACCAATTTGATAACGGGGTCCACAAATAAAAAATCTAAATACATGGTTAGATTCAGCATATCAAAGAACCCCATATATTCAATTTTTGTTGAAATCAAACAAAGTTTCATTTTGGACCCCAATTTGGACCAACTTGAAAACTGGGCCAAAAATCAAAAATCGAAATACATGTTTAGATTCAGCATATCAAAGAACCTCATATATTCAATTTTTGCTAAAATCAAACAAAGTTTAATTTTGGACCCTTTGGACCTTAATGTAGACCAATTTGAAAACTGGACCAAAAATTAAAAATCTAAATACACTGTTAGATTCGGCATGACAAATAAATAAATGTGATCAAAGATTTTACAAATCTAATACGCCATACTGTGCAATTAAAGATTACTTCTTGAAATTTTTCAATATTTGAAATTTGAAAAAAAAATAATATTTGAAGAATAATTCTTTTTAATTTCTGAAATCTGAAATGAGAAAAAATTGGCCCCCCACAATTTCTTTTTATCCCCCCCCTTTTTCCCCAAAAAAAATTCTTTCCCTCAAGATATGGTCATAATCTCAATTCAAATTTCCAATGGAGTTGGCAACCATAATTACCCATTTAAATTTACCATAGTGCTAACTTAATCTATTTTATAATAGAATTAATAAAAATATAGTGTCAAATCTTTCATATGGATTTTTTGTAAAAAAAAAAAGATGCAACATTTGCAGATATTTTTACTGGTCTTCCTTTATAAATATGCATTTCTTTAAACATAATTTAAAAGCAGTGTAAGGGAAGTAACCAAAACGTTGTATTTGGATTACCTCCCTTACACTGTTTCAGATTATCTTTATTGTTCATTAACCATTACTTTATACATAATTTAAAAGCAGTGTAAGGGAGATAATTTCAATGATGTATTTGATTTATCTCCCTTACACTGCTTTAAATTATGTTTTGTACTAAAGTATTTGTCCATTAACCAGGACAACCTTGTTTTTCCCCCTTTTTTGCCCCTAATTCCTAAACGGTTTGAGCCATAACCCCCCAAAGCAAATCCTAACCATTCCTTTGTGGTATGGAAACTTGTAGTATAATTTCAGAGAGATCCATACACCGTTCCACAGTTATTGTCTGGAAACTATAAAATGCTTATTTTTGGCCCCTTTTTGGCCCCTAATTCCTTAACTGTTGGTACCATAACCCCCAAAATCAATCCCAACCTTCCTTTTGTGGTATTTAACCTTATGGTCAAATTTCAAAAAGATCCATTCACTTAAACTAAAGTTAGAGTGCGAAAACCAATGTGTATTCGGACGACGACGCCGGACGACGACGACGACGACGCCGCCGCCGGACGACGACGACGACGCCAACGTCATACCAATATACGACCACAAAATTTTTTTGCGGTCGTATAAAAACCCATACCGTGTGGTCGGCTATAAAAGGCCCCGACATGAAAAATATGAAACAATTCAATTAAGAAAACTAACGGCCTAATTTATAACAAAACAATTTACGAAAAACAAATATGATAGACATGAACCAAAGACAACCACCAAAGCACAGGCTCCTGGGACATTGTCATCATTTGTAAGACAGTTGATGGCAGCACTATTCCTGCTCAGTATTTTCTTGTTATTTAGTGCAGGTAAATTGACAGATAACTTACTTGTCATCATTTGTATGACAGTTGAGAGCAGCACTATCCCTGCTCAGTATGTCTTCCAATTTACCGTATGGAAGATTTCTTCCTTCAGATGATGTCACTACGACCAAGCCATAATGTGCAGGATTTACCCACTCATAGGCTGTTCTGAAAGAAAACATTATTTTGTAAAATAATTGCTTTTCATCATAAAAATGAGTTTTCAGTAATCTATTCTATACTTTTTGCCTAGCTTTTTCAGTAAAAAGTGAAAGGAGTTGCAATGCGGTGAAAACATATTTATATATATATAGCAGGAGTCTGAATATTGTTTTTCTACAGATAATATAGTTTATCATGTTAAAAGTAATCTTTTATGTTTTTAGGGTTGTTATATAATGTCAAAATCTGTCTAAAATTATCACTTTGAATTATTGAACTTTGCTTATTTCAAGGAATATAACTTATAGATATTATACTATGTTTATTTGTAATCTTTAAAGAACATATAGTTGAAAGAAACATTGGAAATAAATCCATCTTTGAAATACTTTAATACTTACTTTGAATTAGAACCTATCCAGTACATTAATCCATGTTCATCAAAGTCACCCTGGTAGGTAAATGTAATGGATGACACAGCTTCCTTTAACTTCTTCACAAAAGTAAATGTTTGTCTGTCATAATCATACCACTGTTTGGCAACCTGTCAAAAACAAGTCATTTAAATTCAAAGAAATAAAGATAATTTGAATACATATACAGTCGACTCTCGTTATCTCGAAGTCAGCCGGACCAGAGAAATATTTCGAGATACACGTAGTTCGACTCAAACGAAAACCGGAAGTTTGATAGACCTAGGGACACAACTCTTGCTTAGCTTGGTAAAGCTACAACAAATCCGGATGAATATGGAAAGGGGATCGATATTCTGGTATCAGATCGATGTATTTGTATGTCATGGTCTTTCATTATTATTATTATAATAACATTATTTTTACTTATTCAGTTGTTTCAGTTACAATTTTTTCCTATGGCTTTTATCCGAGAGAGTAATTTTCCAATCGTTCTTAGCGTTATTTAGGTCATTTAAAGTAGACAAAATTGTTTATTCTCGGATACAAGAGATTTTAGAAAATTTAGATTTCTCTTCGTTTTCTTTCATCTCACTCTTTCTTTTCAAAAGAAAATACAAGATTAAAGACGCCGATTGAGTAGTTTTTAGGTGATCACCAATGGAAATCTTATTCCCCACTTTATACACATCCAAGCGCATCAGTGTAAATCACGATTAATTGTTTTTGTAAAGATTTTAAATACTTTTTCATGAACATTAACAATGTATCACTAATTATTTATAAAATTTTTATAAAAGATAATCTTAGGTAAACACTCGTGGAAATAGCATGTCATAAATCAATACAGTGGTCAGTGACCGGAAATTGAATTACACGTGTATTGTCAGATTAACTCTTCAATCCATTTAAATCCCGGAGGTCATGTTTTGACATATGTGTATTAGTTCGAGATAAATAATGAATTTTGAATGCTTTTGTTTACCTTGGGACCGTAAATTTAGTTCAACTCAACCGAAATTTCGACTCATCCAATTTCGACTCATCAGGAGTCGAAATACATACATTTATATGGAACAAAGCTCGGGACCACGTGAAAACTTCGACTCATCCGAAATTTCGAGTCAACCGAGTTCGAGACAACGAGAGTTAACTGTAATTATGAATTCTAACATTTCAATCATTAAACTTCTGTTTCTGATTGTTGATGAAGTGATAAATTTCAGAACCTTTTTTCACTTACATTTCCAGTCATGAGAAACCATATTTTTTCTTGGGTACCAATTTTTTGTGGATTAAGTAAAAATTGTATTTTTGTGCATATTTGATTTTTTGGTTTTGCAAAAATCTGTATACAAGCGTATAAAAAATTAATTCTTCATTGAACATTTAAATTTGTGGTTTACATAACCAACAGAATCTATGAATAATAATGAATTCAAAGTATTGAATATTCAGCCATTTTAATCAGGTGGAAATTTGAAATGAACTTTATACTTTTAAGAATGACAGTATAGTTTCCTTCATGTTTTCCACTTACAATGTTTTTCATGATGGAGAAAAAAGTATGCTTAATATATCTACTAATTAAACCCACCATTTTCAGTAAATATCTTTCTAGTGAGGCTACGTTTGTAAGTGGCTCCATCTTCAGGTTACAACCACTTCTATCTAGCAAAGTAGTGTCACCTGATGACCTTTCTAATCGGAATCGGATTCTCCTGGTTAAGATCTGCAATAAACAAAAATCATTAAATTTCACTGAAGCTGTATTTATTGGATGCTACAGAGATTTTAATGTCAGGACACATTGATTTAACAAGTTTTATTTATTACAAGGTACTGCTCACAAATGATAACCCATCTATAAGTATTAGATCAACAGGAAGTTGAAGAGCAATGGATGTGAAGACATAGTATAGCATGCTCACATGAATGATGATACAAAATTTTCAAGGTACTCGGAATTATAGTTCCTGGGCAAAATGTGACAAACATTTCATAAATGGTCATAATGTTTTAGAATATATAAGTTTTCCATAAGCAGGAGTTGATGAGCCATGAATACAAAAATGCATCACAGAGTATACATACCTGTCAACATCTGAAAACAAAAATGCAGGCAATGACGTGTATTGAGGAAGAAAATGCCTGTTCATTAGGTGTACAAACTTTTATCGGAAGTATATGATAAGTTTTCAGAAGGTAAACCCCCTTTAATCAATCAATTAGTGTCCTTGTGATACCTTTTATTTCTTTTAATAAGGAGTATGAATTTTTCAATCTAAAAAAATATTACACAGTAATGAAAATGTAAAGAAGGAAAGCTATGTTTTGTTACAGTTCATGGTTGTTGCCTCTTTTTTGTCGGCTTTTGATATTTAGTCATACTGATAAAATCATTGATCCATGAAACATAAACAACTGCACATTGTGGAAGTACAAATTACACAGTGAGGGTTTGTACAGAAAAAATAAAGTGGCCTTAATTTTAGTAAGAGAGATAACCCATTTTGACAGCTGCAGAAATGCACCAACCAATTTCTTCTACATGAGAAATGGCAAAAATCATCCGACTTATAAGAGGGTCAAAGCTGGTCTTAGATTTCTGAAACGAAAACGTCAACCAACATATCAGCAGATTGACTTTTAATCGAATATCAACAGAACAATTAGATAATAATAAACAACTTAAAAGAAATTCACATACTGAACCAGGTAAATCATAACTATACACAGGTAATTTACATACCTGTAGTCCATAACCTGAACCAGGTAAATCATAACTATACACAGGTAATTTACATACCTGTAGTCCATAACCTGAACCAGGTAAATCATAACTATACACAGGTAACTTTTCTATAGATTCAAGGACTGATATCAGCTTTCTTACAAGTGCTATAGCTGGAGTTAACCTGTAACAATATAGTTTTGTTAAAAGCTTACATTGGTGGTAATGTATCACTATACTATATCAACTAGATATTTTTGTCAATTATGCATTACTCAGGCACCAGACCGTTCAGTCTTCTTAATCTTATTACAAATTTAAGTATATTATCGAAGAACTGTGAAATATGAATGTGTGCTGTCTTTGTGTTGTCTATTTTGTTTACACAATAAAAGAACATATCAATAAAATATTTTTGTTACTTCTTACACCAACATAACAATTTATGTACACTATTATAAGAGTATACATCAGTAGCAGATTCAGTGGAGTTTGGGGGGGAACCCACACATACCTCCTCTTGGAGAATAAAATCCAATCAATCTATAGACTTCGCCAAAGGAAAATTGTTAGAATGGGACAGTTGTTGGGAAAAGATGAAAAGGGTTCCTGTTCTATTTCTAATCTCTTTGGAAATTCATCAGTTATTGTAAGTAGTTAAAAATAGTTGTGTAAAATTATTCATTTCAAGAATTCTGAATTTTCTTATATTTTTCACTAAAGGCCAACTTGAAAGTGCACAGCTTGATCCCCTGACATAACATCATGAAGCTGAGAGAACAAAAATATGAATGAAATATTTTGTTTGCTACTTGGATGAAAATGATATGTAAACAATAGAATGAAAAATGATGCGGGGTAAATGTCAGTGAGACCCTATAATACATACACGGAAACAGTCCCATTACGTCACAAAAAAAAATTGGCTTGAACCTCTGGATCTGCTACTATACATTTAATTCATAAGCTATGATGACAGATGTAAAACTGGACTCAGTTGTTCATAACAATTTGACACTAGGTAAAGTTATCAAGAATACTTTATCTAGTAGTTAAGTCTTTGTACACCAAATAACATATGGATAAATGTTAATCATTGAATGAATTTTTTTAACAACTGGATCCAAATATTGATAAAATGAATTTCAGCTAAGTTAATGCAAATTATGGCAAGGAAAGGAAAGCTAATAAATTGAAAGTCAAAGCAGATATTTTTAGTTTCATTAATTACTTTTATTTTTAAATTGATGAATACCCCCTTAGAAATATATATATTTATATGAACATGAAAAGTTGTACAGAAAAATGAACTACACAGATATATTTTTTCAACAAATTCCAACGACAACAAAGAAATATTCAACAAAACACTTAACTTATATACATATATACTGAAATTTATTCTTATATCTTTTTATTTAACTGATTTTAAATTACCATTACAACAAACCGAAATAAAAATTATTAAAGGGTTGAAACCTGACTTTAAAAAGCTATAGAGTTTTCCATTCAAATAACATATAATCAAAGAAGGTAATTCAAAATATCAACATAGTTGAAAGTCTCAAATGTTAGTATTGTCAAAAGCATAAATGATTTGCTGGGATAATTTTCATTCTGAATTCCTTCCCTAGTTACTATGCATATTTCAATGGAAATAAGCCTATGTATAATATGATACAAGCTAAAATTGTAAGTAGCATAAATAAAGAAGTAGAATAAGCTTAAGTGCTCACCCTTCTTCTGATAAGCTTCAATTATAAAATATCACTATAAGTATTTAAACAAATTATATCTCTTATCAGTAATACTACAACTGTGTTTAAGTAAACTAAGATCCTGTCTTTTAATTTACAGCTCCTTTTAACATGTAAATTCTAATAGTACAGCTGTTAACATCAAAATAGCTAGACATGCAAAACTAAAAAGGTTTCCATTACCATAAAGCATTTGTTTGGCTTATATTTGTACAATGTTTACACTCATCATTGTTCATGATTTTTTTCAAAAAACCTTTGGCTGATAAAATAATTGAAAATATTTTACCATTCTAATAATTTCTTGATTCCAACATTTCAAACTGATATAATATATTTCTAGATTTAAAGTTTTTCCGTCACAATATCTGTGATAATATCAAAAGAATTATCAAGAAAATGAATCAAGCCAATCATTATCACTTTTAACACAATTGGTGTATATACATGTATATTGAGAATATTTTATCAAAATAAGAACTTACTCTCCCTGGTCCTGGAAGATTGTCCTAAATATATTGATTCTTTCTTTTGTCCTCTTCTTACTCTCTTTACTGTCTGAATCCTCTACATTCTGTGTAAAAAAACATGTGATATTAAATCAAAGTTAAGCTGCTTTGGATGTGCATTGGAATAACATCAATAGGAACATTTATAGTCAAAAATGAGTATTCAAGTCGATTTGTTTTCTGTGCCAAGAAAGATTTGAACATTTCAGTCTTTTTCATTTACTTTGCAATATCAATCCATCAGCTTTAGTTCAGTTATTTAATGTTGTAGTCGATGGGAGGTTTTTCCCAAGACAATACCTGGTCATATAACCACCTTCTAAACTTTGCACTCAATTCTCCAAAGAAATTAAGTTTAAAATTCATTAATTTCTTTCCTGACTACTAAATTAGCTACTATTAATACATTATGATACAGTAAAGTTGTGTTAAAAATTATGGAGCTTAATCACTGAACAGGAAATTAAAATCTGTCCTAGTTATAGGTGTCTTCTAGTTATTGATGATTTCCAAACTATCAAATTTTACAGGGACTACACAAAATTGATCTAAACATGGTAATCTACATATTAATGTTATACAAAGCTTTCTGCTCATAAAGACAATAAAGATAAAAAAAAAAACCACTAAAAATACATGTACAAAAAAATTGGGATCAAAACAAAATACTAATTATAGTGAAGAAATGAAACCTTACAAGACAGTGCCTATTTTAATTCATGCATTTTAATTTCCTACTTCATAAAGTTCAATGCAGAAATAAATGTTACATAATTGACCTTGAAACAAAAGACATTTTCACTGGTACAAGTATAACTGAAATCCATTCAGTGGTTTTAAATGAGTATATTGGATATACTAATGAATTACAGACACATAAAACAATTCAAAAATAAGGAAAAAAAAAAGAACTACAGTCGACTCCACTTAATTGCATACCGCTTAATAGCATAATTCGGTTAATTGCATAGTTTTCTCCTGCACAAAACCATTTCCCATTCATCTAATGTTAAATTGTCCGGTTATATGCATAGCTCTACAAGTGGCCTTTCGGTTTATTGCATAGAAAATTATCGCCATCTAGATATGCTTGGTTAAATCTGTCGAAATTTTTGACCGGAAACGGCAAGTTAGTGAGTATATTTTTCTTGAATGCATCATTATTTTCATTATTATTTCATATTTACTTTTGTGTTATTCAAATAAAGTTTTAAAACAGTTTCTTTCGTGTTTATATGATTGAATTTGATTTAAAAATAAACCTCGATATCTACACAGGTAAAGTTTCCCATGTTCTATTTTAAGCCTCGAGGTCATAAAAATGTCAAACAGGTAATTGTTGTAAAAACACTGACCATTCTATCTAAAAAGGTGTAAATAATTGATTGGATTTCAAACATTGTCCATAGATTACATTTGGGGTGAAATTCAAAAACAATAACGCCTGCTAATTATCGATCATTATCCAATGTAAACTCTCGTAATTGGGCTTGGGGTGATCTGCATTTATGTTAAATATTACAGGGCATTTATATATGGTTAAAGAATTTTATACATCAATCATTTAATTTTAATATATTTTGAAAAGAGCATTTACTTCTAATTATTATATTTTCTCACTTTCAATACTCATGTCCAGCAAATAACCCGTACAGGGCCCCATTACTGCTTTGCATATACGAAACTAACGAAGTTAAATAAACAGTGTTACTTCACTCTGCAAGCTGTAAATATTGTATATCAAAGGCAGTTTAGTACACATCTATTGTTAAAATGATTATAAACTGTGTAATTTTGTTAAACAGTTTATTTTAATCAAAGCGTAACAATGTACATTGTACATACGGGTCATAGAAACAAATCTATTTTTAGAACAAATTTATTTTCGTATCCCAGGTAAACTGGTAAAGGAAACGTCGGTACGCAAATAAACTAAAACAAAATGTGTTTATAATCTTTATTGAAATAATACAAAATAAAATAACATGTATGACACTAGACATATAACTTTTATTAGAATAAATCAACATTCAATATGTTGTAATATTGGATTATAGACGTTCATCTTTCTTCAGGGATTTCCTTTACTGATCTGTTCTATCTATGTTATTTGACTCCGTAATTTGGCATTTCGGATATAAGCATACTCCGCTTTATTGCATAATTTTGTCTGACAAATAGGCTATGCAAATAACCGGAATGTACTGTACTTACATTACTAAGTATATTAAGAAGTGTTTGAACAAGGCCACTGGAATGCAGCTCATATGAGGATACTGTGTGCTCTTCTTTCAGTAAATCTACCAAGGATTCAAATGAGGCCTTCATGTCATCTCTCCAAGCTACTTCACCATCAGGGGACTGAAAAAGAATTTCAAAACTTTATAGTATTGAATAAAAAGTAAATATTATCATCAATGGATTGCAATTAGAATAAATTTTACAACAAAAGCATTTAAGGAAGATCAAATAAACTTATACTAATAAGTAAAGTTCCATTGAACAATAACGATGTGTCAACCTTTTTTTTAAAAGTAAAACAATAGATTGAAATCACTTGAGATTGTACCATTTTATGTATAAAGTAAAACTAATGTTCTCCTCCTATAGAAACTAACCTTTACTTGACTAATTTGTTTGGCACAAGCTGCCTCTAGCTGTTGAACAATGACTCTAATCTTGGCTACCACACCTCTAGGCATGGCTTCAGCTGCTCTGAAATATTGCTCGTAGATATCCCGAGCTTGATTCTTCACCTGAAACAAGCACAATCAATTATTAACCTATGTTGACAGCTTAATTCTCCAATTCAAAAAATCTGTTTATAAGAGACCATTTTGTTAGTTACTCACTAGCAGTCCATCTTCCTCATATAAATCCAGCTTAACAAAAATCACTCAAATGCACAGAACGTGTCATTTAGCTTCAACACAAATACTGATATCTCTTTAATATATATTAAATCTGTCAGTCTTCCAACGAAAATGTGTGTCAAATGCAAAGTCCATGTTTTGGTATTCAAAACTCCAAAAATCACTCGGATAAAAATTTAATATAGCTGCATGTCCTGTTTTTATTGATAATTCGTGCAAGTTTGGTGGAATTCTGTTCAGTCATTTTCAAGGAGATGCGAAACTTATATCAACAGACGGACTAACAAACTGATGGCAGCATAAATGGTTGAGTCTATGTTTTGGTAAGTAAAAACCACAATAATCAGTCAGATCAAGAACTAAAATAGCATATGCACAACTGTAGTAAAATGTATGCTAGTTTGGTGGAATTCAGATAAGTCGTTTCCAATGAGTTATGGATTGATATAAAGTGTGAAACAGGCATCGCAAGACGAAAGAAAGTGATCCCTATGTGTTGCTCCATCCTAGCTGATAGGCAACACAATAATGATGAAATAGTGAGAAAAATAAAGGCCAATATAAAAGTTTTCTTTTTCTAAATTCGTGAAATAAATACAGACAAGAAACAGTACACATATTGTGTTTATGGTAATTACCTTTGTTTTTATTTCTTCTGTCTTTGATTTAAATTTCTTACTCTTCTTTCCTCCCCATCCTGTTGAGAACTCTGCTCCTAGGGAGGTCTCTGCTGTAAATGAGTGTTTTGTACCTCGATTTGACTCAAATATAAATCCTGCCACATCTTCCTTTAGAATGGTGGACTGAAATTAGAGAAAAATACACAAATAAAACTACCATTTATAGCTAGAATCTACTGCCGTAATATCTGTTACTTAATTTCCAACCAGGAATTTGAAAGTGAAGATGTATTACATTAATGTCAGTAATTTAATCTATAATACAGGTGAAATAGTGATCACTGGGAAAAAATCAATTAACTATTAACTTACTTTAATTCAGCAATAAGAAAGTTATTGATCAGAAGAAAATCCCATTCCTCACTGATAACTCCATAAAGTCAGAATTTTCATTCAAATTGAGTAATTCTATTATATACATATTATAGTAACCTGTTGACCATCTGCATTATGTATGTGTAACTCTCCTTCTTTCTTACAAGACAAAGACCAATTCCCAATCACCAGTCTTGGTGAACCAAGATGAGATAATAATGGTTGGCTGACAGTTCCACTTTTGATCAAGCTACGAGCACGCTGTAATTTTTCCAAGAACTCCCCTCTGTTTTCTGAACTGTCTGACCCTCCTTCTGGGCTACCACTAGAATACATTGTAGCTAATTTACTGTCTAATATGAATCTAAACCATCCATTACTACCATTAGACAGCTCTAATGCTGCAGCATCACTCCAGAGATATAGACAATCACGTCCACGTACTATACACCAGTCTCTCCAATGGTATGGTCTCCCCTGTACAAGTTCTGTAGCATCTTCTAATGAGCCATCTTCCTCGACCTGCAAAACAGTTCAAATAGTTGCAGCAGACGTAACAAGGTTGGTAGCTACTTTCTAGATAAATAGGAGATACATAGGAATGCATTAATGGTGTATGTTGGCAGATGTATTTAGCAATAGCCTTGTACCTTCATTTACTTCAGATAATTTAACTTACAATTTCATATTATTAATATAGCATATCTGTAGCAAAACTTTGACTATAACATTTGCACAAAAATACAAAATCCTCTAAAGTAAATGAATAAAGTCATCATTTTAAGCTAAATATTAGGAACCTATGAAAACTGTTAGCTCTACCTGCAGGTGAATGTGTTCCTCTGACAGAACCTCTTCACATAATACAGATTTCATTATCAATTAATTTGCCTATGATTTTACTTGAATAAAATACTTATAAACCAACATTAACAAGAGAAAATGATAACATTTGACTGCAAGTACATGTATCTTTTGTGTCAGTTACATTCAACCTGTGTTTCTGTTTCATTGGTAAAGGCTCCCAAAAATTTGTGTGTTTAACGTCACCTGTCAGTAGGTTAGCCAAATTTTTTTATCGGCAAACCAAAAATTCAGCTAACAGTTTAACAAAAAAGAATTATGTTTTCAAGAACAATACCAATGAAAATATAATTTGCCCAATTATCAAGGAAAAAAGTTAGGGTTGGCTCTCAAAAAATTTGGATGGGTCGAAGTACTGTAAAAACACATATTTTTTGGACCAATTTATAAAAGGACTTTATGTTTTCTTAGTAAAATAAATATACCTTTTCTTCCATGGCTATAGCTCCTTCCTGTTCCTCCATAGGACCAGCTATGGACTGGACCCTACCAAATAGTCCCAGTCTACCAAAATGTTCGAGAAACACATCTTGAGATTCCTGGCCTTTCTTCATCATGTCTTGTATGATGTTCAGTACTACCTGGTGGTTCTCATCCTCATCCTGGCAAAATAATCTTCAAATTCTAATTTCAATCAAATATTTGACCTCTTCAAACAGTTCAGATGATTTTCAGATACACAAGTGGTTATTTTGCCATATACATTACCTTTAACAACATGATATTTTGTAGCTATTAAGTATCCAGTATATTATAATGTCTCTCTCAACTACAGACATTATATTATTTGGGAATCTGAAACCTATTTTAATTATACATCAATCACTTCTTTAATGTAGCTTTCTCTATTGTGACATAAATTTTACTAGTACTTTTGAAAAGTTTAGTTATGGTAAACATATCACTAGTGATAAGGTACTTCATTTTCATGAATTACAATATGATCAAATTTACAATATACTATTACTTGTATTTACCTTGCTATTTTATGTGGTATTTTGCAATGTCTTATGTTCAGACAAAATGAAAGAGATTTATTGTTCTTGTACTCAATTTCTAATTTCGAATTCTCATTGTAATTGGGAAAAAATATTTACAGTAGAACCTGATTTGAGCCATCTCTCCCATAAAGACCTCATTAAATTTTTATTCAAAATTGTGAATGGAAATGGGGAATGTGTCAAAGAGACAACAACCAGACCAAAGAGCAGAAAACAGCCCAAGGCCACCAATGGGCCTTCTTATTTGCATGGAAATATTTTGTGATTTATTTGCAAGTTATCATTAACAACTATCTCTCAAATCCCATGTACCAATGATTTATGAGTCATTTACATCTATTGAGAATTGCAAAATTTATATACCACAATATTTAGAACAGACAAACTTATATACTTATACGGAGGACATGATATAAAGTACAATATCAAATAAAAAAAAAACTTCAAAATAAGGCTTATCCTTCCATAACTCTAGGTCTATTTACATTATTTCTGTTATTAAAATATTTTCTTATTAGGATAAACTTGGTAATTCAAAAAACTTTCTTAAAGCTTACTTCCTTCAAACTATATCATTACCTCATGATCCAGGACATTAGTCATTACTTCAGTGAGTGCAGCAGCAAAGTTGACAACATTCATCTCTGGATTAGACAGTTCACATATCAATGTATTGGTGACATAGTGTATCATCTTTTTCAACAATGACAAACAGGATTTTCTGTAAGAAAAGTTTCATTATCATATATGCAGTTATCATGAGCAAATTAAAGACAATATTTGTAAAATAATAACAGATTTTCACTTGCAAAGAAAAGATGTAATTTTAAATTCTATGATAAGCATATAATAACAAGTATCTGAGTAACATAATATAAAATTAATTTCAACATATCTTATTTTCTGATGAAAATCTAAAACATGAAATTCACATTAAAAACCGTTGTGTCTGAACATTGATTAAGGCTTGCACAACATGTAAGCGAACTAGTGATTAAAAAACAATTAAAGAAGAAATCTAAAACAGTAACACTACTAACAGTCAATCCAAAAATTGTGGCCAGAAAATAGAATTCAAATATCAACTCATGTTTTTAATTAAGGTTTCCTGGCTCATCATTAAACATTTGAAATGCCTTCCTAATAGCAACCATAACAGAAAATCAATGTTTTCATACATTAAAACTTGAAAGTATTACCTTTTAACCTTGAAGAAACTGCAAAATTATGAATTTTTCATTAAAAAATAATAAACATCAGGTAGATTCATTCTATTCACTGTATAAAACTTTTACTTCCTTTGAGCTGATGATAATAATTTCAATTGTTCCCTGAGGATCATAAAGACAATTGACCTGATGATCAACAGGTGCATGTTTAGTTTTAGTTGATAATTTGTTAACTTGGAATGATACTTTAATCCTAGTAACCGACTTCTGGTGACATAAAAATTGTTTAATTATCATAGGAATTGGGAGCCATAAATAAACAAAGCTATACATGTGAACTAGCAGACAACAAAACAAAACATTCATAGCATTTTAGAAATTTGACTAAGCCCAGCACAACTATTTACCTTTAATTAAAGAATCTTACCTAACAGAAGGCAACATAGTACTTTGAAAGACATTGGTAAATACAGGCAGTAATTGTTTGAGATATATAGGGGCTACTTCAGGGTCTCCTTTAGGTTCATTAGATTCTTCCTTCTCCTCTATTGTAGAATCTTCCTTTTTCTCACTCCCTGTCTCCACTTGAGGGGCCTCTGGAGGAGTTGTTGTAGGGGATGGAGGAACCACTGTAGCTGTAGTTGTCACTGTTGTAGTTGATGGCTCTCTACTGGCTGAAGACATCCAATCTCCTGATTAAAAAAAAAGGTTGGTCAATAATTATTGTACATTTTTGTATTTCATTAACTGCAACATCATTTTTAAAATATGAACAAACAGGTAATGTTAAACAAGCTTTTAACACATGCCTTTAACTGGACAACTGCGACAACAGATTCTTTCAAGCAGTCTAGAAAATCAGAAGGGTATTTGTAACCTTGAAATTCAAAACAACATATGAAATCTTTCCTTTCCACAGTCTCAATTAGTTTTTGAATAAGAGGAAGAAAAATAAAAGTAGAAGGCAATTATGAGGAACGCAAGGCCCAACCGAGCATTGCAGGTGCGAAAGGGGTGTGTGTGTATTTTTGAGAATTGAGAATTAATGACACTTTGTTTTGCAGATTTATATGACATGGCTTGCTTCACCCCTTTGTGTGTTCAATGTTCTTCTAATTGCAATTTTTTATCACTAAGGGCTATTCCAGAATTGATAGTATGGGAAGGGAAAGGCATTTTTTATTTGAACAAGCATTCTGTGAGTATTGCATGGCAATACATAGTCCCCTACCGGTTACAAATTCATTGTAACGGAACGAAATTCTAACTTGATCTATAACTTGTCATGGTGTAAACTACATAAAAATATCAAGTCAAAATCTTCAAGCATGACGAAAAAAACTGTTGAAAACTGTTTAATTAAGTGAATTTTCTATGTCCAAAGACCATAACTCTGCACAAAATTATCAGACTGGAACAAAATTCCAACTTGATCTGTAACTTGTCATGATAAAACTATATACTAATTATCAAATCAATATCTTCAAGAATGACAAACAAACCTACCACTAAATTCTTCAAACAATTTACCAAAGAAAAGGAAAAAAATCCAAAATGTCATTTTGTCTTTTAAATCTTTTAAAAAATGAGTTATTTCCTTTTGAACAGAAATCTACTAGTTAATAAGTATTTTATCAAAAATTTAATTCTAGGGAAAGGGCTTTAACTGAACAAAGAGAAAAGCTAAAATCGTGAAAATTGAGCTTGACCTGTAACTTGTCATGATAAATCAATAAACCAAATATCAAATCAATATCTTCAAGCACGAAGAAAAAAATTCTGGAAAAATGATTTGCCGGACTGACAGACAGACAGACAGATGGACGGAGTGCAAACATAAAGTCCCCTTCGACTTCGTCAGTAGGGGACTAATAACATTTTAATTAGTTTTTCCTTAACTTTGAGTTATGATTGGGAAAATAAGTGAAGTAGCCCATTCATTTTTTTTTTTTATTAATGTGCCTTCCCCTCCTCCATACAGACATTTCTGGAATAGCCCTTATAATTGTGTTTTCACATCATATTATTTCTTAGTGTCTTGTATTATAGTTTCAAATAGAATTCATTGAGAACATTAATTTATGCTATATTCAGTCATTCAAAAACTGGTAAGATTTATATTTAGAGAAAACCAGAGTTGCTTGAAGTAACTGTCAACCTGCAGTAAGCAACTGACAAATTATGGCTAGAAAACAATTAATTTTGAATCTAGGAAAAAGGAACTTTGTAGTGTCAACAGTTTATCAGGTTACACTCAATCCTCTCTGTTGGTCAGAGGGTACAAGTTAAATCTACACCTATAGAAAAAGCCAAATCGGCATCTGATCAAATAGGCACCTATATTAGTCATTTCGGCATTTAGTTGGTCAGATCGGCACCAAATAATATTTTTCATCCGTTTTCTGCTTTTTAGTTATTTAGAAAAAAATTGGGGTTGGATTTTATTTTGTTCAGTACATTGTTAAAAATAATCTTATTATTAAGAAGTAAATTGTATGAAGTTTTTTTTTAAACTCCTATGACTGATGTTTTGATTTGTTTCTTTTCAATTAATTAATCAATAACTTATATCAATTCAATAATTAACATGTTTGTTGTTTTAACTCTACACAGGTAGTTATTCATGTTTTTTCATAAAAACTTTAAAAAAAAAAAACAAACAATGAAGCCAGTACCCAAGCTGTTGTTAAATCATAAGAAGCAATTAAAGGACAAACTATGAGTCCCTGTCATCAATATCAACTGGTTAAAACATGCATAGGAATCTGATTACAGTAGTTGTCGTCGGTTTATGTAGTTCATACGTGTTTCTTGTTTTTATATAGATTAGACCGTTGGTTTTTGTCGTTTGAATGGTTATACACTAGTAATTTTTTGGGGCCCTTTATAGCTTGCTGTTCGGTGTGAGCCAATGCTCCGTGTTGAAGGCTGTACCTTGATCTATAATGGTTTACTTTTATAAATTGTAACTTGGATGGAGAGTTGTCTCATTGGCACTCATACCACATCTTCCTATATCTATTTAATAAATATCCAATACCTTGAAATACACATATGGTTGCCGGAAGAAAATACACAATAATTAATTCTGGCCATCCCCTTCTTTATTTTAAACTTAAAATACTAAACACAATATATATTCAACGTATATTTGACTAGGTACCGAATTGAGTATACCGGGTGCCGATTTAATCACATTCCGAAGTGACTAGAATTCATCAGATGAGGACTGATTTCACTGTGTTTTATTTTACTTTTTACTCTGGCGATTATACAATAAGATACATAAATGCACACAAGTTTAAATCCATGTAAGAATACACTAAGAGATCTTTCTTATCTTTGCCTTCCTATAAAGCTGGCTCACGCTAAAAGTAGTCTATGGTCGTTCTCTTTATGTTTGAGTTTGTCACAAGCTGTCTAAAATATCAGCGTCAACATCAATCTCGATTGTACAGATTTATTGCTTTGTTTCAAACGCTCAAATGATTTGAAATGGGTTTACGTTTACTATTGTATTATTTACACCTGGCGGACTACTCGGAACCAGTTAGTAGAAAAAAGATGTACGACAGATCGTGCGATTTTCGCGTGTCATATTTTTATCAATAATTTAATAGCCAGCACTTCACATGCAATAGGCGGCGGATTTTGACGGTTGTCTTTCTTATTGAGAACACTGACTAAAGGATCTGTAAAACTCTCTGTAATCTTAACTTAAAAGGACACTGAAGGATCTATATGACCTCTCTCTAACCCTAACCCTAACCCCAACTTACCAGGAGACTGAAGGATCTGTATGACCTCTCTATGACCTTCATCTCCTCTTTCTCTAGCTTTATCTAATGGAGTTTTACCATCTTCATCCCTAAGTTCTGGATTAGCACCATATCTAAGCAATGTCTAAATTAGAGATACAGATAACTATAATTTAATACAATATAAAATATCATTTTATCAAATTGACTGTTATACATTTTAACATTTCACTTTAAAACTAATATTGGAAATGATCATGAACTTCCAAAAAACTTCATTTATAAATGCATGAAAATAGTTGCAATGATTTGGAATATGTCAAACTATATTACACTTATAACTGTCAATTACTAGTTATTTTAAGGATGAATGACTATTTAAAAATATTTTTTTTATAAATATTATGTCAGTTATCAAGTTTAATATTTGTTACAGTTGTTTTTGTATTAATAGAAGTTAAACATTGTTCACCTACTTTAACAATCTGTGGTCTTCCAAAACAAGCTGCATAATGCAGAGATGATGATCGCAATCCTCTGTTGACATCTGCTCCTCTCTCACACAGAAACTCAACCTGTTAAAACCACACAAATACAGTTCAGTCAAATTAAAGAAAGAAGATATTTGACATTTTTGCAATGTAAAAAAGAGATCAGACATGTTTTCAGAAGACTTTCTGATATGGGGGGATACTCTTTCAAGGAACATTTTGGAGAGGTTTATTGCTCTTATGCATAAAATGTATTCATTTAACTATACTAATGTTTTTATTAATTTAACAGGTTCATCAGGACTTCTTATGGTTCCCAAATCATTACATTTTACTCTTTGTTTACATATTAGGCACATCAAAGTCAAGAGATTTTTTATCGAATATGATTCAAATGAGAATCTTTTGTAGGGGTCCTTTCGTACATTATTCTTGACAAGTTACAAAGTACTGGTCAAGTAATTCAGAAGATGAAAATGGATTTACTATCAACTATGTGCCACCAATGCACAAAGTTTGGCTTTTAATCATCATTACAAGAGGAATGCTTGTGGAGGGTTTTCAGTTTATCAATCCTCCAAAGTTCCAAAACATTATGCCTTGTAATAGTTTAGGGGAAGATCTTTGAAATTTGGACAATCAGAATCAAAGATTGTGAATGGCTTAGCATGTTTTACACCAAATGAGAACAAAATGAGGATCATTAGTACAGGAATGTCCACCAAATTTGGTTCAAATTGGAAATGTGAGCTAAATAATGGAAAGACAAATTTTATAGATTTGCTTTTAATGTATTTAGACAGTCCTTAATGATAATAAAGTGTTCTGGCAATCCTTTAATAAATGCCTTGTTGTAATCTACTCACCATTTCCTGGGTCCCAAATGCAGAAGCCCAATTGAGTAATGTCTGCCCAACATCATCCATAAAATTAACTTCAAATCCTGTTTAAGAAACAAATTATCAAATTAAATTGTGAAACATGACATAAAGGTGAACCTGTTTACCAAATAAACATTACAAGATTTGGCTTTTCTTTTTTGGTTCCTTTCTGTCATATAGCTAGTCAAGTATTTATACGTCCCTGGCTTTCAAATGTGTGTAGAAACAGTAATAAGCATTGTTTTTTTAATTGTGAAGAAAACATAATTAAGCTTACATCGACACTAATTTTTTCTTTAAAATCCAAGTTAGAATAGAACTCAAAATATTAAAACTATGAGGTTACAAACAATTTATACTTTAAATCTAATGATTTTCCAAGCAATATTATATAGCCCAAAAGAAAATATGTCTGTAGGTAAAGTAAGAAAGTTCTTCTTTTTCCCTCTAAATTCAACATTTATTTGTTTGTTATGTGAACATTGTCATAAAACTAAGGAAGTTTCCCAGGTTAATGTACATTTTACAATGATGAAAAAATATTTAGTGAAGAATGCCATTACTATTTTTATGCTTACATGATTTTGAGGAAAAAAGAACTCTTTAAGGTGGTTCCTAACACTACAGGGAGATAACTCTGTAAAAATCAGCTAAACGTTTTAATTACGTTGTATTGTTAAGGAAATATTAAGCTTCTCAATGATCAAAATTAGTGTTTGTCAAATTGCTATATAACCAAAGAAATTTTTCTGATAAAGTGGTTGGTTCAAATTTTTTGAAATTTTTATATTTTTGTCAAAGGGTCAAAGTAAACATTTTGTCAAAATTTTATGAAAATTAAACGAGCCAAATTAATATTAGTCAAGGTGTTGGGTACCACCTTAACAAATGAATATTTACCAATTTATGCTTACCGTAGATACTCGCCTAATAGTCGATCCTACTATAAGTCGGGGGCCCTTTTCAGCTCCAAATTCTAAGGATTTAGTCTTGACCCTCGTATAAGTCGGACAAAATTTGGGCATTTTTTTTTCAGCTGACAGTAACTGAACGCCGGTAAAACCAATGCAAATCCAGGAATAATATTCATTTCTGCATTAATGTTTGTTTGGTTTGAATTTAGTTGATGCTCATCAAGATAATTTATATTGCTGTTAATAATAAAGATGTATTCATTTCTCTTGTTTTGTTCACTGTTCAAATGTTAGATTAGCCATGTGTTGTTTACGTAATGCATCAATGATTTTGTAGGGTATGACTAATAACCTATTGTTTGAGAAAAGCGAATATAAACCAATATGAACCTAAAAAATTTAAAGTCAATCAACACTTGATGAAAATATTTTTCACAGCATACATAACTCGGTGTTAAATGAGCATGTACACTTCATAATTCTTATTATATTGTGATGATTAAAGGATTAAAAAAATTAAGTGAAGCTAATCAATATATTAAAATAACTAACTCCAACTCATTAGTGACATCTGTTTACCTATCACTGATAGTTTTCACACCTTTAGTATATACAACTCTTTGTCTCTTAATTGGGGTTATCAATGGATTATATTGGCTTGTCAATCAATTTTGTAATTTGTTTACTGAGACACTTTAATGAATAATATTTTGATTTGGGGAATGAATCTTAAAATTATTTTTTGATTATTATATGATTTATAAGCATTGAATTGATATCATGATATCACAATAATGACACAATAACTCCGCTGAAAACATCCTTTCACATATTTGGTACATTATTATCTCCTTTTCATTTTTGGTTCTTGGCTCTTCTTTTGGGTTTATAGGAAAACCATGTGACCATGAAAATCAATACACAAACCGGAAACAGTAGAATTTCAACACGAATTTGCAGAAAATGTTTACCAAAGAACAAATAAAACACAAAGACAGTATTGTAGTCATTTATTTTCAACAAAAACTTTTTATTTATTGATTTATGTAGGTTTGGCAATCAAAAACGTAGTTTTGACCAGGAAATTCACTCCTGACCACTTTCCTCAAGCTTGGATTTTTCCTCTGGTCGCTAGATCTCGTCTATTAGTCGGTCCCCCTCTCTGGATTATGAATTTTACTCCCAATTTTCCGACTAATAAGCGAGTAGGAACGGTACATGATTTTGAGGAAAAAAGAACTCTTTAACAAATGAATATTTACCAATTTATGCTTACATGATTTTGAGGAGAAAAGAACTCTTTAACAAATGAATATTTACCAGGGCTCGACATTACCATATGTTTGATTGACGGGGACCAGTGAAAGTAGGCGTCGGATACTTAGAATCAATATATGTGTTGTCCGATGGGACAAGTGAAAAATAATGAAATCAGAACGTGCTCCCTTTATTGAATTACAACTGTTAAGTTTACATTTATATTTCCAGAGTGATGCATAACTTAATTATCAAATTAATTGGCTCCTTTGACAACACTATTGCCGGTAGACATGTGCTAAAAGGTAAACTAATTTTGATTTCCTCTGGTTTTATCATATAAGCTTATGCCTATCACGTGATGAATTGCATAATAAATTTTCGTTTCTCTAAGAATTAACTGTTATTGCAAGCATGCACAGTGTTCTCCCCAGGCCCTTAAAGGACCGCGGGCCCGCGATGTATAATTTTTTACCGCGGTGGTATCGTTCTTACCGCGATGTATAATTTTTCTCCGTGGTGCTAAAATTTTCAGTTAAAAAATCGTAAATCGGTAAAGTTTTAAACGACTTGTTAAATCTTTTCCGTGCGGTGTAAAATTCCAGGTGAAATTTGACCAGTTCAAACCAGTTCAACACAGATTGTTTACACCACGTGATCGATTTACCTTATGAGGTTAACCTTGTTGATTGCATTTAATCGATGTCATTAACACTTGTAACATGATTCTTTTGTGTTTTAATTAAGAGTTCATAACTTTATGATCACAGATAACTATTTTATGGCTTCCCTCTCCACCCAAGCACTGACCTGTGACAAGTCGGTAAATACTTTGTACACAAACAGTGTCTTGACCCGATAGGTACATTTTGTGTACATCATAAAGGTGGCTAATTACGTATAATGGACAACTATACATTTCCCAATTCTTATAATATAGTATTATATGTCTCTGATTAAACCATGGACAATATTATCTTTAAGTATGACATAGTTATTGCATGATAGTCGGGTTTCAAACTGTAGTATATGTCTGTACATATCACATGACCCAGTTAGTTCACGTAGAATATTCAAGTTTATTTACAATTAATTGCAATCTATTATATTTTATAAATAAAATGCATGACTGTACCTTAAAACTGGATATCAATATCCATAATCAATGAATAACAGAAGTATTCTAATTCTTGCAAATTTTATCCAAAAGCACATGTTAAATCTATTTATATCTACTTCCTGTCATTTAGGCGGGAAATTAGGGAGACTTAGTTGTTGACATTGAATATGGTTACTTATAGATCTATAGACCAAAGATAAATTTATAGATTTAGGAATTCCTTTTAAATGGTTCATGACAAATAAAGATTTAGATTTCAGGGCAGTATTAAGCCTGTATCTATGTTTGATTATCACCAATAGAACATTTTTGTTCACTTTTAATGATATTTTATTTTTATTGATTTTGGATTTTATAAAAGATTTAATTACTTTAAATTCAGATGAATATTTTATTATGAATCATAATTTATTTATTTTAAAAAAATATTAAAGTATACAAACTGTTTTTTGATTTACTTCTTTTTTACCAATAATTTTCTGAATCAATGTCTACATAACACAGTACCACAGTATTAAAACAAAACAAGAGACATAAAAACTACAGTAACTAGAGCTAAGCGACGCGACAAGACACAACTGATTGCATGAAATATTTCACCAAGAAGTCCACACGCGTTACCCTGGTGCTATCCAAAAATCCTGGGGAGAACACTGATGCATGATAACAAGTAAATTTCAGATAAAAACATTGACAAGAAGCACAATTTTTGGATACTTTTACACAGCTAAAAGATAATCTTGGTGATGATAGGACTCATTTAGTTTAACTAGGACGTGTCCAACTGACGTGTCCAACGGACGCACAATTTCAGGATTGTTGCTTGTTTGATGTATGTACACGCTTTTACCAGAACACTGAATAATATGCCAATAAGACATAGAATATTGCAAACAATAAATTACTTGTGTACAACACAATTTCCTGGATTAAACTTCATCAGGTACATTAGAAGTCCAAATTGTGCATGATCTAATAAATGTGTCAATATATATGTTAAGGACATCATTAATTATTTTTAGATTGGGCAAAGTGAGTTTAGAAGTCAGACAAGTTGATTTTCTTGCGACTTGCCTGAATGGATAAGTTAACAAAAATAATAATGTAGAGGCCTATTAACAGTTCATAGCAACAGTTTACCATTATCTACTGCATCAATGAGAGCATCTGTATCTTTACTACGAATACAATCAATCAACTGACGATGAGATCTTTCTCCAGAGCTGTCCATCCTGCGTAAACTTGAGATCCTACTACTTATACTAGACACACCAGTTTTAGGGAGGGCTTTCCTTCCTTCGAATAACAGTACCAGTAAAAGGTCAACTAAACGCATTGTGTCTAGACAACATCTGAAGAAAAAAGATATGTACTGAAAACATCAAAATTTGGAAGGTTTTCCTGCCTTTAAATAATGGCATCAATCAAAAAATTCCACTTACTGCATCATTGTACATTATGTACTGACAACTCAATCAAGAGTTCACATTTTGATATGTCATGCCTTCTTTACAATTACCTTGCTGACTAATAAAATTCATCAACACAAAAGTCTTAACTTAATCAGTACATAAAATGGTAAAATTGAATGACTATTTGTACATATAGATGTGCTGTGATATATAAAGATTTCAAAATTAACATTTGAATTTATTACCTTTCATCTCCTTTCAGTCCACTTTCAATAGCATCAGGAAGATCTGACCTCAAAAGGTCATGGGTTATACCAGGTGAACCCCGACATAAGGTTGACAGTAAACTTATGACAGTTGATATACTAGGACTAGACTTTGATTCTGGAGTTTTTGCCCCTGGAGTGCTAGCCAAGGAAACGTTATGACTGGTTTCCCCTGCCCTCTGTAATCTCTGTAAGAGTTCATCTATAAGTCCATGCTGAGCTAGAGGAACAGGATCTACTCCTTTACGGGTAAATCTGTCAGCTAAAGATGCAAAACATCTTAAGGCTCCATCTGCTACCTGTTTAAACATACAAATGTTATTAACCTAATATGTAAGCTTTTTTGTATGTCTTTCCTACTTCTTATTTGCACTTATATACAAGCATACTCACATGCTTTTTATATGCAATGATGGTAATATCTATATAATGATCTTGTTGATTTGCATTGTCATTCAAACATGGAAAAATGTCCTTCTTTACTCATTTTTCAGATTATAAATGAGTAGTTGGGTAGCTAAACTATTTTAAAGATATATGAACATCATTAAATATAAAGGGATCTATATATAGTAATAACCCTGGAGGCCTAACCATCATTAAATATAAAGGGATCTATATATAGTAATAACCCTGGAGGCCTAACCATCATTAAATATAAAGGGATCTATATATAGTAATAACCCTGGAGGCCTAACCCAATACATCATTCCATTCATTATGACATGTGAAATATGATAATATATGGACAATTTATATTTTGATTGTCAAGCTCTGAATCATCTAAAATAATTCTAGACAAAAATGAACCACTTGCAAGTAGACTGACTATTATTTAGACTCCATGTGATTTTTGTTATAGAAATGTATAAACTTACAAATTGATCATCATGTTCAAGAAGAGTAGACAGTGACTCTACACATGTCTCCAAGGATTGGTCTTGGGGCTCCATTCTACCACAGAGACGAGAAACTACAGACATTGAAGAGTGTAAGGTATCCTTATGAACCTGTGATCCATGCTCTCTGATAAAGGTTAGAACACACTGTAGTCCTCCAGCATCAAAGACAGCCCCTGATTCTCTGGTACACATTCTCTCCAGAACCTATATAATTGGTGGTACATGTAAATTATTCATTACAATTTTCTAGCTATAAACTGAGGACAGAGGGACACAGCCCTTAATTCTCATTTTTAAAACAGATATTTTTTAAACTATCTTTTATAAAATAAACTGCTAACACAGTGATATGTCTTGCCTTTTTGTTATTTTGATTGTAAAATGCAAATGTGGAAAATAAAATAGCGTTAACATGTAAGTTATGCAAAATATTCAAAGTCAACGAACCATGACTGAAATAACAGGGCCAAACAATCTCGTTGGAATTAAGATGTGCCAATGCTTATACAACTGTATACTAAATATCCTTGACCTTCCACTAGTGGTTCCTAAAAACTGACAGAATCACAAACTAATACATGTACAAATGTAAACTAAGCAAAAGTTTCAAAGACAATAGACCATGACTAAGGGGGTGGGGCCAAATAATCTCCATGGAAATGAGATGTGTCAATGCTTATACAACTGCATACACAATATCATTGACCTACCACTAGTGGTTCATCACAAACTGACCTAATCATAAACTAATCAAAAGTTTGAAAGTCAATAGACCATGACGGAGGGGTCAGGGCCAAATAATCTCCATGGAAATGAGATGTGCCAATGCTAATACAACTGCATACCCAATATCATTGACCTACCACTAGTGGTTCCTCATAAACTGACCTAATCACAAACTAATACATTGTTGATGCCACCGCCAGAGACGGCATACCTATGTCTCGCTTTTTGACTCTGTCAAGGTGAGACAAAAACTAGAGGATCTAAAGAGCCTGTGTTGCTCACCTGCATTTTCAACAATTGCCACTTTTTTGGTCAAAATCTTCATTAAAGGGGAATAACAGTAATAAGAGTTTACTGACAACTTAAGTCATGTTGACATATTTGTAGATCCTATCCTGCTGATCATATTTCTTTTTCAAAGTTTCTATTTATCTATTATAATTTTCAAGATAATAGGCAAAAAACACTAAAAAAATAAGGGACATTAACTCCAATAAGCAGACATTAAATGACATTGGTCTGTCACATGTTTGTAGATCTTGACTTGCTGATCATTTCCATTATTTGAAATTTCTATCTATCTATCTATCTACTATACATGTAATATAGTTTTCAAGACAATAAGCAAAAGTGCCAAAAAAATTGGAAAAATCCTCTTTAAAGGGTAATAAATTCAATAAGATATCGACTAACGACTTTGGCCATGTAGACTTAATTGGAGATCTTGTCTTGCTGATAATTTTTGCTATTTAAAGTTTCTATCTATTTACTGTTGTTTTGAAGATAATAGAAAAAAAAACGCTAAAAAATTGGGAAAAATCATTGATTAAGGTCAGTTACTCCTATAAAAAGTCGTCTGACAATTTTGATGTTCAATACATTAGATAAATCATTCTGAAAAATTAAAATGTTTGCCCCTGACAGATATTCTCTATCTTTAATGGTTTTCAAGATAAAAGCCAAACATTGCATTTTACACCTGTATGTTCTATTTTTAGCCCTGTCGGCCATGTTGGTTGGCCAGCAGGGTCATCACACACATTTTTTAGAGTAGATTTTCGAAGGATTATTTTGGCCAAGATTGGTTAAATTTGGCCTAGTAGTTTCAGAAGATAAGATTTTTGTATAAGTTAACAGACACTGACGACAACAGACGCCGGGTGATAAGAAAAGCTCAATTGGCCCTTTGGACCAGGTGAGCTAAAATACACTGAAAATGAGAAAAAAAAAACACTATCTTTTTTAAACATCAAATATTTCCCAGATTTTTATTTGTTTTCAAAAACCTTTTCTTAAGTTATATTTACAAGTTTTACATTCACAAATTTGTTTAGCTACATGTACTAATTGCTAAACATGATTAATTACAAAAAAATCTCTTGTAAAATATACCAATCATTTGGCCAAACCAAAAGGTTATCTGTATTATATATAAGGTCAATGAACTGACACGCATTTGTTCTGTCAACTTTATTATGCAATCATCATTTATTCATTTAAAAAATATATGGTTTATCAAAATATTTGAAGTTATCACATTCAATTAAGGCTTATTGTCTAGAATAAACAAAAGGATTAAGATTGATCAAAAAACGTTTAGGACATGGGGGCAATGCAAAGGGAAACAAGGACACAAATTGTGCACGAGTTAGGGCAGATGGGCTCAGTCCACTGCACTAAATGTAAAGGAAGGGATTAAAAAACAAATGCTTCATAATCTAGGTCTATCACAGCATAAAATAAAAGGTTTAACAGTAAATTAACAAAAAACAACTATCACAGTTATATGTTATGAAGACCAAAAAATTATGTTTATATACTTCCAAGAAACTATCTATTAGAATTGAAATTCAGGCTTTTCTTAATCAAACACAATTATTGCAACACTTAATTGTTGAAGTGTTACAAAATTCAATGCTACATATTTTCACTCATTCATTGGATTTGTGCAAGTATACAATACTTTACATTCTTTACTTGCAACTTTTTAAATTTTTAACTGAATGATATCAATACCTGTAAACACTACATGTAATTGCACTGGGTTATCTTCCTGCAACATTATCTAAAGAGAACCAAAATTTAAATTTTATGGATGGATTTATTAAGTCAGACTGTAACATTGTAATTCAAAAAGGTAACAGTTAATACAATGTCATTGTATGTAATTTTATATGAAGTGAAATAAAATTGGAAGGGATGAGACTTGGCAAAAACTGTAAATAATGTAATTTTAAGTATGATGATTTTCATAAGCATTTACCTTGATACATTGTTCAGACAAATCTCTACTGGTCCTGGATGACATTTCAACAATCACTAGTCTATTACATAAAGCTTTAATAGCACCATCTACAGCAACAATACGTCTGGTGCACTCTGCTGATACATCTAAGTAGTATGTTATGGCCCTTGCTGTAACCTCAAGCACATTGTCTGGAGCACATTCATCCAAGAAGATACGACATAAAGCTGGGAGAAATGTCCTTGGTGGACAGCTGAAAAACACAAATTCTGTTCATACATGTAGACAGAGATTTATAAGACTCATCTGCATATAAGACCTTTCAAAAGAAGTCAAATTTAACGAAAACTGCCAGATTTAGTGGTCCTAACTGAAAAAATTGCACATTTAAACTGTTTTCTCAAATAGAATTGTCTGCTCTTCCAGGCAAAAAGGGTTGTTGTGGTTTGTTTGTCGCAATGTGAGGAAGTTGTTCTGATCAGATGGCAATTGTTTGTGTTTTTTCTGTAACATTAGTCATCAAGTTTTTTTTTTAAAGTTAATACAATAGCAAAATGACCATTTCAAATTGATGAGAGGCAAGACAAGGAAAAAGCAGCTGGTGTTCTCCCTAGGATTTTTTAAGTAAGCGTATGTTTTTTGATTTTGACTTCCATAGTTTTGTTTTGTACTTGATTTGAGACGCTTTTTAAAAATTTTTATCTTGGCCTTTTAACAAAAAAAAAACAAAACAACCAGCAACATTGTAATTCATACTATGACAGTAATCCTGGATGACAAGTGATTTTATCATGTCCCTTCTTACCACCCCCTAATGCAATAAACTCCAGTTATAATTCTTGTTTATTAACCAGTTGTGGTATGATCAAAAGTTTCATAGAAGTGGTAATGAATTGATTTGTAAGGATCAAAGAATAATAAATAATGTTTTTTTTAATCACAAAATGATCTGCAGCATGTTTCAGAATACCAATATACATTTATGGTTACATGGTGCTTTAACTGGTTGTGACCAATCTTCAATTGGGAATTATTGTCGCAATGGAATGTCAATTTACAGTGGAAATAGTTTTTTTTCAAATTAAGCAAATATATTGAAAAATACATTGGCTTAGGTCAAACTTTTGGTTTATAGTGACTTTTACAGTAAATATATTTCCTAGATTGATCCATTTAAAAAACAGCATATTTGTAGGATCAAACTCATATCAACTAGGAATTCAGAAAGCTGGCCATGGCTAATCAAAAGTTGTTGCCTTTATAATGTTATCATTTGCAATTTGAAATATTTTTCCTTTATTCCAAAATTTTTTTTTCCACAACAAATTTATATCCCATTTGGGTCATTTAAGGCCATGATGAGAACATTGACAAATTTTTGGTTATCTATAGCTACATGAATTTGAAAGTCAAAGGATGTGGATTTTCTTTAAATCCTTAAGGTTCTTTATCCTTGAATTGCTGAATACCACAACTTTTGCTTTCAACTTCCACCTGCTGCAGTACAAATCTAATCTAAGTTTGGTTATATTCTAACAGATCTTTTAATCGATATGTATTAGTACTATTACCTTTCAAAAACTCTGTCAACATTGTCAGACATCAACAACAGCATACAAAGTTGTTCTAGGGCAATCTGTTGCATATCCCTTTCATCTCCCTGTCCCATCTGCAGCCATTCCAACAACGTCTCTGGGTCAAAGTCTGCCATTGTGTCTGGGGTCTGGCTTACCTTTGTCTAAACTTAAGTTTAGACCTCTGAGGTAGAAACCCCAGTAGGGCAACCCCCCTTTTCCTGGTTAGTTCAGATAAATTAAATTACTTAAAGATATCACGTTTATCAGTACAATAAGTCACACGGAAATTCTTCGTGACTAATAAATGAGCACTCGAAAGTGCATGCATTCGACGTAGTGCAAGGAAATTATCCGATCATACAGCTTGAAACCGGAGGACTTTCTTAAGTGTGAAATGACTGATCAAACCGGCTAGAGTAACATCTTGTGTACTTGGTCAGAAATTTAACATTTCCACTAAGCTATCTCCTACTTTAGTTGTCAAAAGAAACAAAGGAAGGCACTTTTGTTTTGCTCTTCACCTTCATAAACTATTTATAGCCTCGTTGTGATCGCTACATCCGGTTCATAATCTAAACACCGGAAATGGCAGAAAAGTAAATTTCCCGCGGATTATAATTTAATCTTTGCTTTGTAACAGAGACATATCTCTGTTTGTAATCAAATAAATAAAAGCTTTCTGAAAAAATGCGTGACCAAAGATATTCTCAACTTTTTATGATAAAATTGAATCTATGTCAAGAAACTGACCAAGCTACAAATTAACAGAACTCTGAAATTTATCAGAAAGAAATTTAAGATCTGTCTCAAGAAACGAAGTTATTCGACCAAACACGAATATAATGAAAAATCTTTTGCATACAGATCTGCAATTCTATGGAATAGTTTACTAACGAACAAAACAACAGCAACATCAACATCTCTATTTGTATTTTAAACAAGATTTAAATCTCAATGCTTCATCTCAATGATCTAGTCACACAGAGATGGATTAATTGTTATTTAACATGAAAAGAGGCAGATTTAGGTGGGGGGAGGAAAAGATGCATATTCAGGTGGGGAGAGGGGACTTTTTACCTGTACCTGTTCCACCCCAAACGTTGCCTAGTTTGGGAGCCAACAGCCTCTCCTTTTTCAACATCCTGGATCCGCATCTGATGAATACTATGAATTAGCCTGGGATCCTGGCTCACTGCTTAACAGATTAGATTGGATCAGGATGCCATGCTATACTATGAATGAAATTAATCATAGGTACTGGCTTGGGGACATGACAATTTTTTTTAAGCCCTAGCTCCCCCTTTCCCCAAAATCCGTTATTTTTTTTTGTTTTCTATCAATTTCAATTATTTCCGAGTTTATCTGTATTATATGAACATACATATACTACAAATAACTTGTATTTGTTATTTACTATCAATTCCAAATTTACTATCCACAGCGGTTACTCACGGATATATAATATGTGTGTGTGTGTGTGGGGGGGGGGGGGGGGGGCTCTTATATATTATATTATTATTATTACACACACATTAATCAATAGCTTTTTTGACAAGAAAAACAATTATTTCCGGTGTCCAGCGCTTTTGTATTTTATATGTTCGTTTTCTATACACTTGAGATTGACCCTTTCGTATTAGCCATAGGACACGATTTTATTAGATCGAATCTAATTGGTCTTGTTCAATCACATTAACAGTCGTTTTATGCACCCGTTAACAGTCAAATAAACTTTAATTGATATATAATAAGATTAGATAAGATCTTTTATTTTTCCAAATTAGGTCCCCATGGGGGGCATGCACATATAACAAATATAATCTTTACAACATACAGTATTTTACATGACAATCATATAATACACTTAAAATATTGATATAAAGTGATACAGGCTATTATATGTTAAATAAACAAGTTGCTTTCTTTAAAAAAAGAAAAGCAATACGTGAACATGAGACCGCTGACTGGTCACCAAAAGATTGTTGCTGAATTTTTGTTTGCTTTTGAATTGAAATAATTTACTGTGAATAGAAGAAGATAATGATGCAGTTAAACTACCTTTATTAAATATATGTAATAGGGTGTACATTCTTGCACAAGAAGTCAGTTGAAAGCAATGTTGGATAGTTGTGAATAGAGAAAGTGTATATACAGCTACTATTTGAATATACATTTTAAAGCTCGGCTATTTCATTTATTACTTGGGATTGTACATCATTTTTTCATAATCCTATTGCAAATCCCAGTTTCTACAAACCGCAAATTGCACAAACCAATCGCAATATAAATTTAAGCACTCAGTTTGCTTTATAATCTGGATGTATTTATTTTATCTATCATATCTTTATATTTTGTTTCCTGTATGGATGCCTTAATACTCGCAACTTGTTATTGAAGCTGTCTGTACTCATGGTAGATGTTGTATAGATACATTTAAAGTCCATTTTCCATATGAAGTGAAACCTTGTGGCATGCAATTTATTAGAAGGTTTCGTATACTTTTCTTGAGAGTAACACACCAGCTTTATTTGGACCTCTTATATAGAGACTTATTTTGGTCTCATAAAACATCAAAAACTTTAAGGATTTCCTGATTTTACTTAAATCAATCCAAATATTCTACAGGGAAACTTCATTGTGTCTAAACTACCCCGGCGAAAAATGTTTGGACTCAATAGTATCTAATGTCCGGTACGGTGACGGACAATCAACAGACAGAGAAAGGTAGAAATTCTGTTTATTTATATGTTGTTTTAATGATACTGAAGAATATACATACACATATAACTATTTTCGATAGTGTGATGTAATATTTTCTACCACCGTTTTAGATTAATGGAGAAATAAGTAAAAAGGCACATGAAAATGGTGAATTGAGTGAACCCTGCCTCGAATTTGTTTAATTTCTCTTTAAATTGTGCACACTGTACGGAAAGAAAGGTACGGGAAGAAAGATATTAACACGGAGATTTCAAGACTTGTCACAATGATCACCTCAATATTTGCATGTCTGTGCATGGAATGAAAGAAGTGGGTCATGTCAAAATTGAAGCACCCGGTTTTGTCAATGTGTACGACCTGGTTTTGTCCTTAAACTTAACAAAGCAGACCCGGTTTTGTCATAGAAAATAATGCATAATCGCATGATGAAAATTAAAGTATGGCGTTCAACAGCAGTTTGAGGGATCGTTGAAAAACATTTTCTTTCAGAGGATAACTTATAACCTTTTTGAATCCGTAAAGACTTGAATTCCTGCTATTTTAGAAGAAAGCAAATTTCAATAATGTTTTGTATAAAAAAAAAGGAAAAATTAAAAAGAATCGAAGGTTTTGTAACGCAATTTGATTTTTTTATATCAACTATGTAAATTTAAGTGTTCAAACTTAAATAGTGTACGGCCTTGAAAATTTAAGGACGCACATTTGATATGTGATTATCTTAAAGTTCCGCTCTACTTAAAGGGGGAAACAGTATGATCGTTTGAAAATAAATATTTTAAAACTAAACGTTCATTATAAAGCAAGAGAATAAGACAAATGTATATGCATGCAGAATCGCCCAAGAAAGGGAATTTCCATGCGGCGCAAAGGATCACAATAATAGTGCGTTAAAAATCTGTTTACCCCTCCTTGTTACAATAATACTAAGTATAAATTAGTATAATAGTCTTAGGCCATCCGGAAATTGCAATGATGATTATTTGATTAGTAATTTTATAAATAAACGATGTTTTATCTCTTATTTATTTCTTCTCTTTTTTAACATTAACAAATTCTTTAATGTACTAGTATCAAGTTGTTAACAATAACAACTATTATATATAGGTTTATCTCTTCATTGTATAATGATTATCGTACATTGACAAATGTTCTACAATTTAAGCACGTTGGTCAAGTTTAAAGTTGTCAATATGCAAGGGCGGACCGAGGCCATGATTTTTGAAAGGGGCGTATTCATAAACGGATTTTATACCGCCAAGCGTAGCAAAAGGAACTTATTTTTTACGATTTTATGTTAAATAAAAAATCATATATAAATCGTAAAAAAACATAATAAAATAATTATTTCTAGCCACCAAAAAGGGGGGGGGGTCCGCCACTGATATAATGTAACTATATCGTATACCATCATAAAATTTAATAAAAGACTAAAAAACAGAGACAGCCGCCAATCGCATATTTACTATAGGGGCATCTGTAATCAAATGAGTTAAGCCTTTTTCAACTCACTGAATTTTATAGTTTGTTCATATGTTGTGCTGTTATCCCATTTTTTTCTTGTTTTTTTTGGGGGGGGGGGGGGGGGGGGAGGGAGCGCTTACACGTTCAACCCCGCCATTCTGTATGTGTCAGTACCGAATCAAGGAGCCTGTAAAACGGTTGTTGTCTTTTGTTGCTGTATATCATACATGTATTTGTTTTTCGTTTTTTATTTTGTACATAAATCAGGTCGTTAGTTTTCACATTAGTTTTATTTACAGTTTTCATTTCGGGGCCTTTTTTTAGCTTGCTATGCCGTATGGGCGTTTCTCATTGTTGGATGCCATACGGTGTTCTATATTTGTTAACTTTTACGTCATTTGGTCTTTGATGGAAAGCTGTCTCATTGTCATTTTTCACGGTCTAAATTGCCACTTAGGTTGTTCTACGAAGACGAAGACGAAGATATTGGACGTTATAATGTTGCAAACCAACTTTTATTTATAAAAAGAAATAATTCTTTCATGCCATGCTCAACGCTCATTTTAACATAGGTAGGCATTATATTTGTTAAAATTTTTAAACCAAGCGTTATAATTAATGTATCCATCTGATGAGTTAAGCCTTTTTCAACTGATTTTTATAGTTCGTTCTTATGTTGTACTGTTACACCAATTTCCCAGGGTAGGGGGAGGGTTGGGATCCCGCTAACATGTTTAACCCCGCCACATTCCGTATATATGTACCTGTCGCAAGTCAGGAGCCTGTAATTCAGTGGTTGTCGTTTGTTGCTGTGTTACATATTTGTTTTTCGTTCATTTTTTTCTACATAAATTAGGCCGTTAGTTTCCTCGTTTGAATTGTTTTACATTTCTCATTTCGGGGCCTTTTATAGCTGACTTATGCGGTATGGGCTTTGCTCATTGTTGAAGGCCGTACGGTGACCTATATTTGTTAATTTCTGTGTCATTTGGTCTCTTGTGAAGAGTTGTCTCATTGGCAATCACACCACATCTTCTTTTTCATATCATAAGGAATTAATGTAACTACTGCTATAAAGTATTTATTTTAATTTAAACTTAGTTCGAAGATAAGTTCAATAAGGTATACGTATAGCATTCAAAAATGTCTACTCCCTATTTCGAAAAGTTTCCGTTTGAAATATATTTTAACACGACATGTTTGTATTGCAATAACATCTTTATAACATCTTTTTGACTCACATATTTAATTTATTCCGATGGGCAATGTTCAGATCCGTGTTAACGTAGGGTCCTTCCATTTTGACATGACCCATTTCCTTCGTTCCATGCACAGAAATGCAAATATTGAGGAGCTCATA